TCTTAGTCCCGATTTCCAGTCTAGGAGTCGATGTTTGATAGCAGAGTAAATGCTGATTTTGTGGACTTAAGTGCACACAAATAATATTTTCAGACATGCAGTTTGTTTGATTTTAAAACCTTCAACGATCTCAACACTTCAAAATGAGTGGTCTTTAATACGTTTCCTTTATATTTTGGCGTACTTAACGAAGTTGAAACGACTACTCGTGTTACAGGACCGGTAATTACACGCAGAATTTCATGTTTTCGCGGGCGTAGCCTGGGTTTTGTCTGACAGACATCTGCAGATGTTTCACAGGTCCTTGCTGCCTCAACGATAATAGAGGGAGCAAGACTTCAGCCATGTTCATACCGTCAAGTACAGTTTTCAAATTAATGCCTGAAACGACACGCGCTTGTTGCAGGTGGACACGGAACGTTCATTGGCCCGGTAAACGCCTTTGTTCACATTGTGATGTACACGTACTATTTCGTCACAGCCACGTGGCCGGAGTACAGGAAGAGTTTGTGGTGGAAAAAGTACATAACTCAGCTGCAACTGGTAAGGTCATACCGCTGAGAAAGACTCAAAAAAAAAAACGTCACTAATACTCTGACAACTCAAACACCAGACATATTATACAGGGTGGTCTAACTTATTCGTCCCTCGGACCAAGGGAAAAGAAACCCCTCCCGGCTCTAATTTTAAAAAAATAATAGACAATTTTCGTTGACTTTAACGATATTTAATAGTAATAAATTACCGTAGTATATGCTCAAATATAAATTTTATTTAAATGTGCACGAATTACCATAAAATTATAAATTATTTTAAGTTTTCTCCCACAAAAATTAGTATCTGACACAATTTTTACCTGAAAAACGAGGCAGCACACGAGAAGCATAATGATATTGATATTTGAGTAATTAGTAAGAAATTAATATTAGATTTAGATTAGTTAAAGAAGGTATTAAGACCACATTATTTGCACTGAAGTTGAATGTGCAAGGTATCTGTCACTCACAATTCAACATTTGCCATGAACCCGCGTGCATTGCAAAACACTTTATACCCTTCCGGTCTTATTTCTAACGGAACACATTAAGTTTATTAAATATGCAAACCCAACACAGACAGTCAGAATAAATGAATAAATAAATGACATTGTCTTGCTTCGTTCACAGGCCCAGTTCTTGATCGTCACTCTACACTCGTCCACGGTTCTGTTCATGGACGACAGTTGCAAGTACCCTAAGCCGCTGGCAGCGTTCCTAGCGGTGCAGAATGGATTTATGTTTATCTTATTCGCCGAATTCTATGTGAAATCTTACAGAAGGAAAATAAAATAGATTTAAACACCTAACAACTCTTTAAAAATGTGTCAGACCTCAAACAAATGCGAACGACGGTAAACTTCATTCACAACAAAATTAAGACAGACTGAAGTGGAGAGACGCATTAATAATAAATCAGCAAAAAAAAAAAATTGCATGTCTGTGCGTTTTCGTGGAAGGAGTTCAATGCATAACTTCGAGTTCTCACCCGAAAGTCGAAGTTACGCGATCCTTACACAAAAATACATTATTTAAAGATAAATAAAAATGTAAAGCTCACCATTACACACCTGGATACACGATGTGTATAAGAATTATGTAAATAAACGCGTAGCTTTAATACATTCAATGAAGTACTTGAATTATAAATTACTGAATATGTTCTAACCACGCTAATAAATTATAAAACTCTGTAATGAAAATCAATGAATATAAAATTAATATTTGCTTTGCGCATATATTAGTTAACTTTTGATACAATGGAATATTATTATGTAGGACCGCCATGTTCGCCTTCCGTACGACTGTTACGCCTTGCTGTCGGATTTAAATTAAGGTGTACTGACGATAAGATGATAATGTGGAAACTGTAAGCCAATTTTAATTAAGGGGTTTTATCGAAGTCACGTTAAAATTTAACATTTGCATCTGAATTAACTTTTATTTGCTCCACGTAATAAGATATCAATAAGTCGGTTTTCAAGCAAAATAAGATAATTAGACAGAGCCGTACGATAAGATGTCTGCCTTATCCGTCCGGGCGATATTGGTCTCAGACAGCGAGTTTGCTTTCCTTAAATGAACGTTTCGTGATTCTCTTCAGGCAGAGATCAGGACAGTAACTACATTTAAATATTTTCCCTTTATAATGCATTCCCTTATCTATTCCGGAAATGAATAATACAAACGGTTGATATAACATCGTTTCACAACATACGAATCACCTCACAGGCTACAATGACAGAGGAACATCGTTGAGGAAAATGCCGACAGCGCGGCGGACGTCACCGGAACTCCTTTTGTCAAAAGAGGTCTTCCCGGTTCACGCTCCGTAATTTCTCACGTCACGCGTTGAACTTTCCCACCAAAGTTTAAGCATATTCGATTTACAAGTGACATGTTTTATTCTCGAAGCTATTACAACCAGTTCGTCGTCGCCGTATCACATCAGTCGCTAACTAAGAGTGCCCAGAGGACGCATCGTGGAGTTCCCAGAACTGCTGAAAGGTATTCTTACAAGCACAGACGTTTAGACCACGGGGGATCAAACAGCCAGATAGTGCTTCAATTTAAATTTCACTCATTTTCGAATCGGAACAAAAAAATAAACCATACAGTTTAGTTACAGTTCAGAAACATGGAAATTGTATTCAGTCAGATGATCGTACATCCTCAAACAAAGTGCAAATCACCGTGCAGGCTTTGAGGCTTCCACTGCATTGAGTCCGAAGATGGCTTTCATACGGGGTCTGGTGCAATGTAATCTGGTAGATAACCAACGTTTCAGAAGTCCTTGATGCCTCCATCGTCAGGACGATAGATAAATAGGGCGTGAAAACAGGAAATTTACAGTCAAAACGGAGCCTTGGCCAAACCAGAGGGGGGGAAAAATACATTCGGCACATCAACTTGGGGACTCAAATCTCCAATTAAACGCGATGATCTTCGTTCTGTTTCAGTAAACCCACACGACACGAGAGATGGCCGCCATAATTAAAGCCACCTTCGACAGTTATCGATATATTTTCCACGACCTCAGAGGTAAGGTTTTAAAGTGCGCCGACAACTTCAGATGTCATAATTTTAACCTCCGGATGCATTCAGTTCACTTGAGCAAAGACAAGTTTCGGGACACGGAGGATGAAACTAATTTCTGTTTCAGACACGAGAAGTGACGACTGGTTTATGATGAACTCTGTCTGGTTCCCAGCATCTATTACGGCGTTATACCTGTATTTCGTGTTATATTTCGGTCCGAGGATAATGAAGAATCGCCCTCCGATGCAACTGGACACTGTTATTAAGCTGTACAACGTTGTACAAATTATTCTATGCACTTTCATCACAGAAAGGGTAGGTGTCTTCCCTTCGTCTGTTCCTCTCCGCGTGTTTGAAATTGAGAACCGCCTCTAAGATTTTTATGAAACGTCGTATGAACGTTTCGACACTGGAGGTCACCCCCAACTTACTTTCCTCTGAGTTCAATTTAACAACTCCGCGAGTAACCTAACCTGACACAAATTTTCTATCTTTCAGACTACACACGCGCTACAATCTGGCACGATTTCACGTAATCTTTCGGCACTGCATTAAACATCTTCCTACATATGTTCTTGTTCAGTAAAGGAACACAAGAACACGGATTTCCTAACGACGTTTCGGCAAGAGCTTAAGGCATCTGGTTTCAACCCTTATTCGTGCCTTTTGTTACAGGCCCTGACCCTCGGATGGTTGCGGAAATACAGATGGTTCTGTGAGCCTGTGGACTACTCAAACACACCAGAAGCTTATGCGGTAATTAAACCGACTTCGATAATGTTCTGCTAGTCTCGATTAGAACAAGAAGGGTTCATTATATTACTGATTTTATTCGTTTCCTCTATAAGAAGCGAATGTTTAATGCCTTCGAAATGTTCATGTATGCAGTCCGCACAGCAGCCATTATACATCCTCGGTTCAAAACATCAGTCTTTATTTCATACGTCTTCCTTTCGTTCTTGCCTTCTGTCTTCTCCATTCTCCTTCGCTCTGATAACTTCATTTCTCAACATCACTGTACTCTATTACAATGTTGTAACAAAGACTGCACAAAGGCTCTTAGTCGGTTATTGCACAACGTGCATTTACGTTGCAATGTATATTCAGACGAAGCACTTAAGATAAGAGCAGCATAAGACTTCAAACAGCATCCATCTTTTTATACATCACATATCATTGTTCTGTTGCAGATCCTTAGGGCTTTCTACTATTACCACCTGGTTAAGATGCTGGACTTGATGGACACGGTACGCGAAACGTCTGAGATACCTGAAGTTACTTCTGGGTTGTAACTCCGTGTGGACTTGTAAGAAGATACCATCATCTTCGAGGATTATACTGCCATAATCTTCGGGAACGGAGTATCGGCATGTTCCCTAGAAACGTTGTCATCTACGTGCAAGTCCACCCGGAGTTACAACCCAGAAGATCTACACGGACGTCTTCATTTCTGCGTGAACCTCGTATCCTTTACCATTTCTATTTCAGGTCTTCATAATCCTCCGAAAGAAGGAACGGCAAGTGTCCTTTCTGCATGTGTACCACCATGCCGGCGTATTCTTTGCCTCGTGGATCATCATGAAGTTCTTACCAGGTAAATGGGCGACGAGGCATTCGCGATTATCTGTTCCAAAAAGTTTACACCGAATGTAATTACAGAACAGAGCGTCTTATCTATAATTATGCACAGTAATAAGTCTTAAAATAATGGATGGAAAAACTAGATTGACGTCATATTATGACATCGCTTGATCTTACATCCAATTATAGGTCAAAAACGCCATCGTCGTGACTGGGCGAATTACTCGTAATTTTTGGGAACACTAGCCGACAGACCCCAGGAAAAGATGCAACACATATCTGAGACAAGTTCAGTAGAAAGTAATGTATAACACATTTTCTCTATGTTACCAACGATGCGTCATCTGGATACAAATAATCAAACCGCTTTATGAAGCCATCGGCCTAATGTACAGGACCACCACAACATGTCATGATTTTCCTCACACAACGTAACCCCGTAACGTACAGCGCTTTAGGAATTACAACAGCTTGCAGTGTATATTAAGTAACTAATTACATTATAAAGTCCTGTCTTTTTGGAATTCGAACATTGATACATCTCTAAGACTCAACACGGTGTATGATAATCTTTGGACGGTTAATACTTGGTCACACCGTAAAAATTCGTGTTCTTAATTAGCAATTAAGTTCACTGAATTAAGAACAAAAGCCTGTCACCGGGCGCTATCCTGAATCAGCTTTATCGAGTTCAAAATCTGATCACGTGCTTACTTACCACTTGTTTTAACGTCCTGACGTGTTCCTTTCATTGATATTTATTAACCTCGAACACGTTCAACTACGCTGATTCTTTTTCCAACTGTAAACTAGCTGGTCGCTTTACTTTCAGGAGGCCACGGTTCGCTACTAGGTACCATAAACCCCTTCGTCCACGTCGTCATGTATTCCTACTACTTCATCACTAGCACGTGGCCAAAATACAAGCAGAACCTCTGGTGGAAAAAGTACGTCACGCAGCTGCAAATGGTATGTCACACGCTTTTTAAGTCGGCTCACATATATTTAATTTCGTAAAGCCACACATAAGTTCCCTCGTTTAAGATTTCGACACGAAAAAAAATGGGCACTCGTTCTGCTTGTGAACATATCGTGTTCCCACCTGCGCAGCGGCCTAGCAACAAAAGTGGTCTTGACTCGAGTGTCACGTGGGAAGTCTGGAGAATCTTTTACACAGGGACAGACCTGCTTCTGATTCAATTTTTGCACTACAGTGCGTGAATGTTATCGCGTTGCACGGAACACCCTGTAGCTTTAATATGATCACATCAGACGGTTGAGAACCAGAAGCGACTCCTTGTGAAAGTGATAATAAATCTTCGTAATTTCTTGACTAGATGAGGGACTGTCATCTTCTCAAGAATAATAAGTTAATGATTTTTCTTGTCATGACTCGATCGTCTGAACCTCGTTTCAGGCCCAGTTCCTGCTGGTCACCCTACACGCGGCTCCTGTGTTGTTCCTCGAGAATTGCAACTACCCGAAGCCCATCGCCGGCCTCATGGTGTTCCAGTATTCATTCATGTTTATCCTGTTCTTGGATTTCTACAAGAAGACGTACAGAAAGAAGGCGGTGTAGCAGCTGACTGGCGACTGTCTCTTTGTCGCCTGCGCTGTCCCGCTGAGGAACTCAGGACCCGCGTTTCAACAAGCAATTAAAGAGGATGGCCGATTCGTTTATGTAACTGTTTTTCATCATCTCCTGGGGTCGGTTACGTTGTCATGGTGACGGCGGACACTAGCTCCTTTCCATGAATTACTCGTATTTGAAACTTCCTAGAACAAAATCTTCGGCCATATAGCAGACATAACGTACAGTGTCCGAGAACGCCGGGGATGACCCAAATTTGTAATGCGAATTATTTTAAATATAGGCTAAGTCAACATATTGTTGTTGTTGTTTTTTTCTGGTAAACATTTTCAAATATTTCTTACGAAATCTCGCCGTCACCATGGTAACACCTCATTTGTAGATATAGGATTATTTATAGTAAATGTAAAATTTGATCGAAAACTCGCCATGTTGTTATGAATTCCCATTACAATTAACACAATAAAGTTTTATATTTTGTAAACATTTATCACATATATTAAAGTACAGAATCCAATTTTCACATTACACAATGTTACAAAATAAGGCAGCTGACGTCATTGTGGCTTCTAATGTCATGAAGTTCATACCGAATTCCCTGCAAATTGCCAGACTGTTTCGTAACTGTAAGCTGCGTCCATTTTAACCCTTTAAACCTGGAACGAACGAAAGACCGGATGAGAGAAGATGAAGTGGGAGAGAATGGTAAAGGACAACGAAGAGAACGAAGATTTCCAGGCAGTGACTGCTCATTCTTCTGGTAAAGGTTGGAAAGTGAATCAAGAGGAGAAATTGGAGGGAGAAAGAGAGAGAAGATAAAGTGTGGAGGAGGAATAGCGAAAGGCAATACTGTTTTAACGGGGGGAGGAGGGCATATTTTGAGCATGGCCTTAATAACATTTAAGACTTCTAGAGTCCGTACCGCAAAGAAAACACCACACTTTACCATTACAAAGATCAACTGGTTAACCCTATGAAGCCGAAGCTCGTATAAATATTACGTAAGAATTCAGTCCGTACCGCGAAGAAAACACCACACTTTACCATTACAAAGATCAACTGGTTAACGCCGTTTAAGGGAATAATCGCTGTTTATTTTGAGACTCATAAGGAAACAATAGATAAATTGTATAGGCCAAATTCGCAGTTAGTGATTATTAAAGCAGGTTATCATAGGGATTACAGGGTTAATAAGGCACACGTAAGTTACTTACGTATTCACTTTCTTGGAAGACGTTTTATCAAGTATAAGTTAACCCAAATTAGATACTCCATACAAGCACAAACGTAGATAATGTTGTTATCTTACGTGTAACTAGACTAACGAGCAAAAAATTCAAATAATATTCGAAGGTGTTCATATCTAGACGTTGTTTAGTAACACGGCTCTTCGCTGTTTTATTCCTCATACACAGTACAGAAAATTTTCATTAATGCTCATTAGTGTTAATACTGACCCGCAACTGATGATACAAAACACTGGGGGGGGGTTTACGAACAAGGCAATCAACCTTAGGGTTCCATATTAAACCGGGAAACGTCTTGACCAGATAAGAAGCAAAGGGCTCGGTTTCATGGAATAATTAATTAGTCCGCCTTGTTCCGCACTACCAATTAAAATTTCAAAGGACTTTCGTAGTGAAGACATAAATTCATTACCGGCAGGAAAATGCCGTGTTTTAATTATAATAACTTATGACAATACACAATGCAAATAACTGAGTGCGGTTCATTGTTATTCTGCTGTTTTAACAAGTAACAAAGTTGCATAATCATCGCGGCATATGACGCAATGACTGATGATTTACAGTGGAACAAACTTCGTCCTCTGAATCGTGCATTCCTGTTCACAGAATATCACCGCGATTGGTAAACACACAGAGAGACTTAACAAGAAGTCACTTCCATGAATCTCCGCTAGATGGACGCGGTTTCCAATTATTCACGTGCGAGTGACGAGCAACAAACAATTGACGACGACGTAAAATCAGTTCTTTCTCGCCACTGAAATAACGCTGTCAATGTGTGTTGATAAAATACTGACGATGGAAGCAGAAGGCATTTCTGAAACGTCAATTCACAGTAGACCACACAACGCAACAGCCCATAAGACTGCCATCGTAGAAATCTGGAAAGTATTTGTCAGGAACACGTGCGTCGCTCATGCGCAGTGAATTCTTTTAGCCCTGCTCATAGACAATGTACTTTGGAAATCAGGACAAAGCGCCCACACGTGTCTTCCAAATGCCTTTTAGCATTTCAGCAGAGTTCAAAACCCGTGGAGCTCCGTCCATCTGTCCGTACGTACGAAACAACTCCAAAACTTAACAAAAAAAAGGTTAAATATAACAGCGGACATTTTTGTGTCATTTAGAACATTTTCCGTTTCACAGACAAACATATTCGCGGCTAACACAGCACAGAGACAACCTGTTGCCCTGGCCCAAAGGATCAGAACTTTGAAAAGCCGCGTTCGAAACCCTCTCCGTTCGTATTATAGAACTCGAGAACGAATAAACCGATTTTTATTAAATTTCATATTGGGAAAAATTTACAAACAAAAGTCTCAAAATATTTCAATTTCAAACTAGATCGGACAATATTAACGACCTCCATATATTACAGTATGCACCCGTTTTCGTCGAATTCAATATGGCCGCATGCGACGTTTAGGCTCGACACACACACGCCAGACAATTACGAAGTCTTCGGCACCATTCTCAAAGATTGTCATATCCTGCCGACAGATTTGTTACAGCTTAACGCAAGTGCATGAACCAACAAAACCAATTCATTTGTCTGCTGCATTGCTCGTGAAAACTGATTTCTAAGATTACGAAATTTTCCCGACCTTCAGAGGGAAGTCAGAACACAAACAAATAAAAACCTTAGGGTTCCATATTAAACCGGGAAACGTCTTGACCAGATAAGAAGCAAAGGGCTCGGTTTCATGGAATAATTAATTAGTCCGCCTTGTTCCGCACTACCAATTAAAATTTCAAAGGACTTTCGTAGTGAAGACATAAATTCATTACCGGCAGGAAAATGCCGTGTTTTAATTATAATAACTTATGACAATACACAATGCAAATAACTGAGTGCGGTTCATTGTTATTCTGCTGTTTTAACAAGTAACAAAGTTGCATAATCATCGCGGCATATGACGCAATGACTGATGATTTACAGTGGAACAAACTTCGTCCTCTGAATCGTGCATTCCTGTTCACAGAATATCACCGCGATTGGTAAACACACAGAGAGACTTAACAAGAAGTCACTTCCATGAATCTCCGCTAGATGGACGCGGTTTCCAATTATTCACGTGCGAGTGACGAGCAACAAACAATTGACGACGACGTAAAATCAGTTCTTTCTCGCCACTGAAATAACGCTGTCAATGTGTGTTGATAAAATACTGACGATGGAAGCAGAAGGCATTTCTGAAACGTCAATTCACAGTAGACCACACAACGCAACAGCCCATAAGACTGCCATCGTAGAAATCTGGAAAGTATTTGTCAGGAACACGTGCGTCGCTCATGCGCAGTGAATTCTTTTAGCCCTGCTCATAGACAATGTACTTTGGAAATCAGGACAAAGCGCCCACACGTGTCTTCCAAATGCCTTTTAGCATTTCAGCAGAGTTCAAAACCCGTGGAGCTCCGTCCATCTGTCCGTACGTACGAAACAACTCCAAAACTTAACAAAAAAAAGGTTAAATATAACAGCGGACATTTTTGTGTCATTTAGAACATTTTCCGTTTCACAGACAAACATATTCGCGGCTAACACAGCACAGAGACAACCTGTTGCCCTGGCCCAAAGGATCAGAACTTTGAAAAGCCGCGTTCGAAACCCTCTCCGTTCGTATTATAGAACTCGAGAACGAATAAACCGATTTTTATTAAATTTCATATTGGGAAAAATTTACAAACAAAAGTCTCAAAATATTTCAATTTCAAACTAGATCGGACAATATTAACGACCTCCATATATTACAGTATGCACCCGTTTTCGTCGAATTCAATATGGCCGCATGCGACGTTTAGGCTCGACACACACACGCCAGACAATTACGAAGTCTTCGGCACCATTCTCAAAGATTGTCATATCCTGCCGACAGATTTGTTACAGCTTAACGCAAGTGCATGAACCAACAAAACCAATTCATTTGTCTGCTGCATTGCTCGTGAAAACTGATTTCTAAGATTACGAAATTTTCCCGACCTTCAGAGGGAAGTCAGAACACAAACAAATAAAATTATACACAGACAAGGTCACAAATACACAAAAACTGATCCAAAACGAGTGTTGAAAGCAGCAAATGCCCACACAAGTTATTGCAGTTGATGACTTAGTCACAGTGGACTTTCGTATTTTATTATTATTATTTATTATTGACTGCAAATCGGTTTTTACCAAGTGGCAGTGGTGCTACAACGAGACACAACAGAACAACACACCACACTCAAAATAAAACAACTGACACACAATACAAAAACACACATCCACTAATTAATCTCAATACTTAGAGTAGAATATAAAGTCCGCCCTCAGTACATGAAAATTTTATCCCAAAGAACTACAGCCCTTCATCACTTGGAGACTAAGACACTTCACTTCACTTATCACCATTTATTCCCAACTTAATAACCCTTAGCTTGTAACTACTTTTCTGACCCTCTTTCTAAAGGTGCCTAATTTACAGGGGAAAGACTCTAGCACGCCTGGAGGTAATTGGTTCCAGCTTCTTATGGTCCTATTTACAAAGGAATATTTGCCTACATCCGTTCTTTGTTTCCTAGTCCTAATTTTCCGAGTATGATCGTCCCTGCCCAGGTAGCATGGCTTTAGTAATATATCCTCTATAGTTTTCCAAGCCCGGCCCCCCGTGTATGCTTTGAAAAGGGTGCACATTCAAGGCTATCAATCTACGCTGTGCCAATGTTTCCCAACCAGATTCGTTCGTGAAATTTGCAAATTTAGCCGCTCTCTTCTGCACCCGATTTAGGGCTCTTACCTGCCCTTCCCTGTAAGGGTCCCAACACACAGCTCCATATTCAAGTATCGGTCTCACTAGCGACGTATAAGCTAAACGTTTCGTATTGTTATTTCCCTTTTTTAGTATACGCATTACGAAATGGAGAGCCTTCCATGCTTTAATTAGTGTATAATTCACATGATCTGCCCAGCTCAGATCACTGCGAATAAGAATTCGTAAGTACTTAAAGCTATTTCCTGTATATTATACAATCTTCAGCGGAAAGCCGTGTATTTGAATCAATGTTTTTCCAAATATCATTAACATAAGCGAGGAATAGTAAGGGACCTAAACGTTAAAAAAAAATGGCTAGCTTTAGGTGAATGTAGGGCAGAACAAGTTTCAGCCGAGAAATTAGTAAAATTCCGTGGCATAATACTGGCTGATAGACCATCGGCTTTGTCAGAAAGGACTCAGGTCACTAGAATTACTCAGTCAGTCAGATTTCCGGCTCTTGGAACGTCTTCGTCTCTTGCCTGAGCAACGCGACCATCGGAGAGCCAGCACCGCCACTGTCTTCAGGCGCACTGCATTTTATTTTCGGATCAGTAGCTTCGGTTGGGATGGAACCTGCGACCTCTCGAATGCCGGGCTAAGAGCAGTATATGAACACACCACAACGTTTAATCCAGTGCCAAATTTCTCCAATTCGCTTTAAGCCAAACATTTTGTTTTGACACTTTCAGGCAGAAGAGAGAGAGAAAGTGTTTCAAAAAGGACAGGGAAGGAGAAACAAAGAGAAAACTGTGGGGGAGAAGTGAAAGATTATTTCTGGATTTCTGGTGCGGGGAGGGGGAGAGTATCATATTCCTAGAAGGTTCCCAGGCGATGCCCGTTCGTCCTTCTGGTAAGCACAGAAAGAAAATGAAGACGTTAAGGTGGTAAGCAGCGATAGCTTGATAACAGGGACAAATTGCAGTCGAAGCTACTCTTATATTTAAACATTCAGTCCGTACCGCAAAGAAAACACCGCACTTCATCATCACAAAGATCAACTGATTAACGCTGTTTAAAGAAATTAATCTCCGTTTACTACGAGAATCATACGAAACGCAAAATACAAAACGGAGACTTGATTCTAAGAGCAGCAGGGACATAAGTTACCACTGGAAGAAAAAAAAAAGCTTTTGGTACTCAGATATTGCACAGGCTGAGAACGAGAGAACTTTACACTTTCAAAATAAAAAACAAAAAACAAATAAGAGGTACTTGGATCTTCACACCCACACCAGTCGATAGAACAACTCACAAAGTTTTGCTTCAAATCATCGGGGTGATTGTTACTGTTGCATACCTCCGCCAGATGCCACTACTTTTACAAAACTTTGAGAGTAGTTCTGTTGACTGGTGTAGGTATGAAGTTCTAAGTACCTCGCATTTGTTTCCTGTGTCATTTTGAAAGTGTAAAGCTATCTTAGACCGCCACGGTGGTCTAGCGGTTAGAACGCTGGCCTTGTAATCCTGGGGGTCTCGAGTTCGATTCCCGGCGGTGC